AGTCTTAAAATAATGGGCCGATTTCAATGATATTTATTTTAAGCGAATATACAGTGACCCAAATATATATAAAATGGGACGCGACACTTTATTTAGTTTATTTAAGGCTTTTTCTTTTTTTTATGATAGTGTAGCTGATTACTTAAAAAACAGCATTTAAATGCAAATTTCATTATTTGTGCAAAAACAGCACATTTCAATGATTTTTGTAATTTTTTTTTGTCGACGTGTTCCGCATTTATTTTTTTAATATAAAAAGTTATCGAATATACTTTGAATAGAAAAAATGCGTAACACCGTCATACAAAAAAAAAAATGCCAAAAATCAACGGTAAATCCTAGCTTTTCAAATTCACACCATATTATATATACATACTATAATTTTTCTAAAGATGCTGATTAAAAAGTTACAAAACTTGGTGAAATTTTTCAGCATTTTCATAATTTTTGCACAAAGTTTGAAGTTCTAATTTATATGGCCATAAAAAAATAATAAGCAGTAAATAAACTAAGGAAAAATAGCCAAAATTTGCTAAAATGTCGCGTCCCAATTTATATTTGGGTCACTGTATTTTTTCTAAAGAACGACGTAGGGATTTTCTTCATTAAATTTGTGTTATGAATGTTTTAAATTTAAGTTTGAAATTTTGTCCTCCGACTAAGCAAAAGTGCAATGCTTTCCACTAATATAGCCATTTTGCAGGACAAAAAGTAACCAAGTGCAAATGCTACAATATAAAGCATAGATCAGACGATACAGAGCGTTTTTATTTGGAATGTTTTCGTTTTTTCTGAACTTATTCTGGATAAACATTTCTAACAACACCAATCTGGGACTGCCAAAATGTAGAAATCTGTACAAGTGTACAAATCCCTGCTTAAGAAGGCAAAGATCAGATCTTCGAAAAATTAAAAAAAAAATATATACAAAAAAAATTGAACTGATTTTTGACCACTTATAGCACCTGTAATATAAGTTTGCACAAATAAAGATATACATACACGGTTTAAATAACAGCATACAATAATTAAACATTATTTTTTATCAAAGGTCCATTTTCGAACTTCGAAGGTCCATATCTCGATTTCTGAGGCTAAGTTCGAAAAACGGAGATATTACTTTTTTAACTATAACTCAATCTCTTCAAAAAAATTGGTTTGGTCCAATACCCAGCCAAGTGCTGTACACTATTGGTCAATTTAATCGGTCGCCCCAAAAAGTTCTGGCAACACTGATGGCGAGCGTCAATTGAAATCTTTAAAAGTGGCTCCCGAAAATACGCCTTTTTGGGTTGTGACACGGCAGTTGTTTCACTTCTGTACCAACTGACGCCAGTTAGAAATACCAATCGAAGCCAAGTCCTTCTCCGCCGGCTCTTTGCATCGCAGATGAGGCCTTCCTCTTGTATATTTTCAGAGCTGGAGTGTTAATGTTATTATGTACGACTTGGCCAAGCCAACCGAGCCGCTGTATTTTAATCCGCCGCACTATGTCTGTATCATTGTAAAGCTCATACAGCTCTTCGTTCCATCGTCTGAGGTACTTGCGACCGCCAACGCCTGTAAATTTTCCGCAGAATCTTTCTCCTGAAAACTCCAGGAGCCGTATAATCAGATGAATGGTGTGATGACACAATTGTGATTTTTGTATGACGAAAGAGGACTTTACTTCCCAATTGCCTACTAAGTCCAAAGAAGCACCTGTTTGCAAGAGTGATTCTCGCCTGGATCTATACGTGGAGAGATCTACACATTTACTCCACCTCCGAAGAAGCTTTGTTATAGCAGCAGTACACTCGAAGATTTGCCATAGTCTGCGTGAATTTTTCGCTGATGTCTATTGGTTTTACTTTTGATCTAAAACAATTTTACTTATTTTATTTTGTTCTTTTCTAGATAAAAGCTATCTTTATTGTTAATAGTTTTATTGAATTTTTTGTTATGACTTCAAACCAACATACAAATTTTCACTGTATGAAAACTATGTAAAATAAAACCGGTTTATTCGGGGATTTCTTAATTTCTAAATCGGAAATTGGTTTTTGTTTCAAAATGCATTTTTTCGAAAACACGAAAACCGGTTTTGGAAAAAGGCGAATAGTCAATCCTACACCTTCATTATGTGGGTGCCAAGATGCGTGTGTTATGACATTCTGAAACAGTTGGTTCAGCATTCAGACCATTTCAAATTTCAATTAACTGAAAAAATATTACCAGCTTCAGTTGTCAAGGCAACACTAGCCTTTTATAAAAATCGTCAAAATATTTTTTAGTCAGTCTCAAAGGGATTCACTTAATAGCGCATTTCAAGTTAATTGAGCACTCTCTATTGGTTACAGCAGAAATTTGAAAAGTGGTATAGATATTACAAATTCCAAAAAGAAATACCTAAGAGGGTGCCCCCCTTTTTCTACGATGATGGTTTTTCTCACCATACAAAACTTGGGTCACTCCAATGTATGTACATACAAATTTACGCCGCCTCTAAAAGGAAAATTGCTTTCAATTAGGGATGGAAAAGTTGACTCTGCCTTTAGTAAAAAAAATCGAATTTTGGGTAACGAGCTCTGTGGCCTCAATTCGAATAGAATCGACCTTACTATTGCAGTAGTGTAAACACATTGATGTTGTTTCTTTTATTAATATTTTTGTATTATAAAAAATTATAATTTTAGGTACATTACTTAATAAAGGCAGTTATTTATTTATACATTTTCAAATAGTCAATTGAAGTAATAAAGTCTACTATCAGAGGTGTTTAATCGACTTTAAGTATCGAAAGACTGAAAGCAGACTCAAAAATCGACTCTGCGTGCGCCCTTTCCATCCCTAGTTTTAATGAGAAGCTATTTCATGGCAGAAATGCATGCAGGGATTTGCCTTTGCCATTAGAATTTGTTTTAATATTGCTCCAACAGGGTGGAATTGGGAACCAATACACCACAATGGCCACAATTGTTTAATTTTGCGACTTATAGGACCAGTGTACAGCGCAAGAGAGGGATAACCCTCGATTTATTATTGTCACGAGACCTTGACATTTTTTTTTTTCAATTTAAGCTAGCATGGTATTCCCTAGTGGCTGGTATACTTCAATAATATGTACATTTGAAAAATTTTCCAATGCTGTGTTAATTAAAAATTTTTGTATTCCGATATGATCCAACTACGTAATTTATTAATTGGGGTATTCACAACGGTTGGAAAATTTTTCAAATGTATTATTGAAGTATACCAGCCACTAGGGAATACCATGCTAGCTTAAACTAAAAAAAAAAATGTATGTAGTAAACTTTAAACGCCTAAAAATATATTAAGGGGGTTCGCAAAGTACCATCAAAACCATATTATGCATTTTCACAGTGTTAAAAAGCAGTTGGTTGTGGTTTCAAGTTCTTTAAATATATGTTTAAGCTTTTAAAGTTTACGACATACAACAATACTACACTTACGACACCGTTGTGAATCCCTCAAATGTGTTTTGCTAGTCATTTGAGCTAATTGCATATTAATTAGGCTAATGGAAAAACAAGCTTTCCTTATCAAATAACAAAACAATAATGAACGACGAATTTGCTATCCTGTTAACTTATTGTATGTAAAATAAATACGCTTGCCGTTGAGCATAAATACATATGTACATTAGGGTGGTCCTTATTTGTTTGAAGCACATGTTTACATCAGATTTCCTTAACCTCAACCCCTATGTCCATGCTAATGTAGTCAAAGATATCACATATAAATTTTGGTCCCGATCGGAGACGGTTTAGTCGTGTCGCACAGAGGACAGATATTTTTATAATATTTTTCCGTCTATATCGTAAAAAAGCTCATAGAGCTCTTCGTTAAATCGTTTGCAGTATTCGCCGTTGCCAACGCGTAAAGGCCCGTAAATCTTTCGTAGAATCTTTCTGGTAAAAACTCCAAGAGCAGCTTCATCAGAACAAAAAAGAAAAAGAAGGCGGACAAATTTTATATACTTAATTTTTTTTAATTTAATTTTAGTTTTTTGAGTGTTCGTAGGGTAATGGGTCTCCGGGACCAAAATTCATATGTGAGGTATTTTACAGATTGAGGGGATGAGACTGAAACAAATAGTTGATTTGAATTTTTAAGGACCATCCTAATGTGCATATCCAATGCGCCTCTATGATGGTACATGGAAAGGGTACCATGACATAACTGCAACTGGCATAGCACCAATTTAAAAAAAATGGATTTATTTCACGCCTTATACAGTGACAAAAGGCCTTTTTTTTTTACTTGGAGCTATGTCACTTCTTATAAAGTGTCATAACCCCAATTGGGATAATGTCACTTTTGAGAGTAAAGCATATTTCCAGCTCTTAAGAAAAACAAAGAATCACATAAAAACACGCTCAAGAAATGAAAAAGAAAATTTCTATTCACATTTTTTGGTCCATTTACAGCTCTTTAGAAATATATATCGCTAGCTTATACTATGTTCACGTTGAGCAATAAACTCGAGTTTAGCGTTTTGTTTTATGAACAACTATCAAGTAATCTCATTGGGGAGTTTAAGAAACTCAGAGCTTAATTTGACAGTTGTTTGTTTACTTTTTATTATTCCCATTTGTCCTGTTCCCGTACTGCAGGATTAGACAGAAGTAGTCCGAACGTGGTCTAGAATACCAACCGTTTAGCTATAAAAAAAGCAAAAATGTGGCTCGATAGAACTTTTCATACTTATTTCAACCATATCAACATCATTTGGAACAAATAAAAACCAAGGCCAATAAAAGAGGTTAAAATTAAACTTTTATATTTCTTATATTTAAAAAATCTCGGAAACTATTTGACCGATCACAAAAGTATTGATGCTTATTTAAACATAATTTAAATACCTTTTACTCGACTTAAAACAAATTTTAAATAAACACCATATACTTATATATATTTTTTTTTGTTTTGAAGTACTTCTGGCTTAAAAATATAAATAAAGAAAGAAATTATGTACACAATGTGAAAGGTCCATTAATTACATTTATTTAGACATCATTCGTTTTTAATAGGTTATGTAGTTCAAAGGATATTAATATTTAAAAGAATCAAAAAAATTAATTTCAACCATTGGTATTTTACTTACATATTTATGTAAGTACATTGATTTTTTTACTTCCGCCAAATAATTTTGGTATGTAAATTAAGTCGAGAAAAAGCGTTAAACTTCAAAATGGCCCATAAGCACGTATTAGAGTGAAAAATTGCTAAGTCGCATTTTAAAAATTTTACAGAAAAAAAATTTTCTTCAAGTGTTTCGCAAAACTTTGAATTTAACATTTTAGCTCTTTAAACAGAGTGACAGTTGTTTGATAAAAATGCCTTTTATCATTACTCTTGCACATTCCAAATTCTTTTGGTTTGCAAAATTACATAAGGGATTTGGAGGCTGATCCGCTTTTCGTTTGGAAACATGTCACTCCTTATATAGTGACATAACCTCAAAGTAAAAAATTGGGTCACTATACAAGAAGTGACATAATCCCAAATTTAGATTTTGTATCTTAATAAGTGCAACGATAATTGAACTACAGATTAAATTTTAATGACCATTACATACATTTGTACAATCACAGCTCCAACAGTCGCAATAGCCGATTGAGCACAGTACGTGGTATTCATGACGAAATCAGACGGTTACCAAAATCCACGGCTATATCCTAAATGCGAACCAGACTTATAGCTGTCCTATGCAAATTTAAAATATTTTTTGTGCTTCTACTGTAAAATTTCAAAATTTTTCAAATGCCTTATTTGAACAACTCTGTAGTTTGAACGAACTTAAAGAAAGTTATGTTTCAAAGGTTATAATTTTCGTTTGTATAATTTTATTATCACTCACAAGTTATGCTTTAAAAGATTTTAGGTTTTATTTATATAAATATTTGTATGCTTGTATATCTTACTGAGATTCTAAAAAATGCAGTTGGTACTTCATTGCAGATAGATTTTTATAAAGCTTTCAGCATTATTGTACTATACTTAGTTGTATTTGTAACTAAAACTATTTCTCATCTTTACTCATAGATTTTCCTTTGGTCTCCGGCAGGAATATTGTTATATAGAATAGCCCTAGAGCAGAAAATGCAGCACAGGCCCACATCGATGCTGATAGTCCAAAAGTGTGCATGAATGGTGGAAATATTTTCAGCAAGATGAAGGTAAAAATGCTCAGCAATGACAAGCAAATGGATGATGCTTTCGAACGAATCTATTAGAGAAGAAAAACATTTTTTAAAAATATTTATAGAGTAAAGGTAGTATATCAAGTAAAAAAGTACTATTCTTATAGGTTTTGCAACTTTATTTTTAAATATTCAGAAATCACATAATCACAGCGCAGTCGCTGAATTTTATGACTGAGACACGAATTATCTCTTCCCAACCCTAGCATTGAATTCGTTAAGAACGCGGTCAACGCTTGTAAGAACGCTTCAGGCGATTCATCATGCTGCTGGTGTTGTAACAGCTTAAAAATTTCTTGAAGAGTTTCCAGGGAATCGGCAGAAGTGACACTAATTGGCCAGATATAGATGTGGTTCGACCCGAATGTCGTGGGAACGAATCGTCATGCTCTTTTCGTTTTGTCGCAAATTCTGTCGAGATCTTTAAATATTTTCCATGATCGTCTAGACTTTGTATATTCTTATTTTTTTACCCGATGAATGCTTAAAACTTGCTTGTTCTTTGTTCTGTGCTGAGTTAGAGCGAGCTCCCTCGAGTTTTTGTTATTATTCCACATGCAATTCTACTAAAGGGCCTACATATGTCCTATAAATACTCCACCATTTGAGACAAACAAAAATCGAAATGATCAGCTTAGGCTGGGTTAAAGTTGTTGTACTAAAGAGAGGTAAACTTATATATAGGTTTAAGTCCTTTGTGATACCGCTATGAACGATAACACCTAAGCTATAGCGAGAAACGTTGCGTACCAAGAGAAAGGTTTCGCAGGCGGCTGATTTCGGTCTCGGAGAGCTTCTGCTGACTGATTAAACAGTGTGATTCCAGATGTTTAAGCCGCAGTCTTGGACAGTTTAAAGGAAGTGATTTCATCACGTTTTCTCCAAGCGGCTGCGACAGTGAAGATCCGGTGTGATATTTAGTCTCAGTACGCGAACTCCAATCGGACAGCGTCCTGTCAATTCACCGACCAGAATTGAGAGTTGCGGCTTCGTGAGCTTAAGGGGATGCCTTGACTGCTTCCGGTCTGTACTCGAATAAAAAGAACTTGAAGGGACATATTTTAATGCTTTGGCTCAGCGCTTGCTGAGATTTCACGATGCCGATCTATTCCTTAGTTGTTCACAAGTAGTCTAAAGTACCACTCCCCATGATGAAACGAAACGCATCTTTCCTGATAAGCTCATCCGCCACTCACTCCCGCAACAACACTAAGGTATGTCCTACCAGTACCGCGTACAGAGATCTGGGGGTCTAAATCTGAGGTTGATAGAAAGTTTCCGCCAAAAGACTCCAAGCTTCGAACAACAGTTCCCTGCAAGAGTTCGCCGGTAACTTGTGCCACTGATCTAATTGAGCCAGTCTAGAAACACAGTAATCCATGTTATCACACTGAACCAAAAATCCATCTCTGGATCAAAGAAAAACTTTCCTTACTTTAAGCTCGAAGATTCTTCCGAATGAGTAGAAAATTCTCCCGAATGCGTAATTTTTCTTTGGAATGTGTAAAAACGTACACGATAATATGGAACCGTGGATGTAATCTATCATTTTGAAGAAATGTTGGGCATGAAAAGAGGATAAAACTTCTTTAGTGCTGTTTCGTTCCCATTTTTCTTCATTTTGATTGCTGTTTTTCTTCAATTAAGAGACGTTTTTTTTTTGGGTGCAGGTATACAGTAGACGCCTCTTAGAAGATTAGAGTGTTCAGATCCTGAATCAGTTAAGCTCGGTAGCTCTAAGACTGCTACTACAACGGCTGTCAAAAAACGAGGTGTCGACAACGTCGATAACGATGTTTAACCGTAGATTAGTGTTAACCAGGCTTTGAGCAGGGCCGTTTTAACCATGTCTGATTAACACTCATCCCTAGTTAAACATCGTTATCGAAATTACCGACTCCATATAACGTTGAGTCGGTAATATCGATAACGATGTTAACCTAGGAATTAGTGTTAACCAGACTTGGTGAAAACGGCCCTGATTGACAATGTGGACAAGAAAAATGGCATTAAGAGACACGTGCCCCCCATTGAGGACGGTCCGTTATACCCGCTCTAGCTTTGTGATAAGCGTCATCTTCTCTAATGCATTCCACGAGGCGATAAAACATTAAGGGCTTCAATATGGTTTCATCGAGCCAAGAAAGAGAGGCTCCACCTCACACTAAGTGACCCCTCCAGCAATAGAGCACCACTGATGTCTTCTCCACTATTTTCACAAAGTAAGCTTCCTTTCAAGAATCAAGTTCAAGTCCTGGGCTCTATCAGAAATCGCCAGGCGAGCACCTCCAATTGTGGGAATAGTCGAGCGGGGTATCTTATACTTCCTAGTGAACAGGACAAATCCCGTCCTGAGTTCGCTATTCGCAGATCACCAAGACACCAGGTTCAAGTAGCCTCGAATCAGATTTTTCAAGTATATACCCCTCGCTAAAAGTGCATACGCATTAACGCAGCAGTCTTCCTTTTCCAACTTCCCTAGCAGGTCGTTTACGACCACAATCCAAAGAAGGGGCTGAGAGAATATGACATTGTGGTGTACCACTGCTCCCTTCCTTTGCGACAGCTTTACCACAGTGCATGCGGTATATAAATATATATATATATATATATATATGATCTTTCGTCAATTATGGAGACTCACGATTTTTGTTTCAATTTATGAATATACTATAGATATGTATGTAAAAAAACTACGTAATTACCTTCGGAGGTAAAATTTCCACCAACACCACAAAAGTGACAGGTATTATTCCAATGTTAGCCGATAATATAATAAACGCCATAATGAGAAGTGGCAGCCAAGAGCGATAAGCTGATAGATCCGCACTAGTTTCCTCGGCAAAGAAAGCATACATACCAAACGCCGCCAAAAAGACTCCCATGGATGCTGCGGAAGCCATTAGCAAAATTTTCCGACCAAATCGATCGATTAGTATGATGGCAGTAATGGTACCAACAATTTGCACAACCCCTATAATGATGGTGTTTGTATTTGGATCTATATCTGTTTGAATCGCTACAAAAATGGTAGACGTGTAGTTAAGCAATGCAAAACCGCCTGTGAAGACATTAATCATCATCAGAATTATGCCCATAGAGAGTGCGCGCAAAGCGCGTTTAGTGACTGGAAAGAGATAAAGAAAAAAAAGAGAAAAACAAATTATGAATAATTTTAAATTTACATATGTATGTCAGCAAATTTAAGTGCTTACAGAAATCTCTCCATGTTACGACATCAGTTTGCGATTTTTGCGCCATTACCGCGTTTCGTAACTCCGAAAATTTCGTATTGAATTGCGCCAACTCCTGTTTGTTTTCAGCTTTGCAATTGTGATAGAATTTAAACGATTTTTCCGCTTCCTCTTCCTGTGCGCTATACAGCAGATATGACGGAGTCTCCGGGAAGAATGATTCAATCAGTAGAAAGATAAGTGGGAATAATATCACAATCATTGGTATAATGTGATATGGTACATGTGAGGAGAGTATGAAACCAGTCAACATGCCCGAGTTGAGAGTGAGTGTAAATAACGAGGTAAGACGTCCGCGAATGCTGTGGAATGAGGAAATGAGTTAAAAGTTTTATAAATAATAGCCAAACTAAAACAAACGACTTATGGTGCGTATGTTATGTTAAATACTAACGTTGGATCAACAATTTCTCCAATGAAGATCGGTATAACGATGTAAGTGCCACCACCAGTGATGCCAGCGCAGTAGCGTGCAGCATAGAGAAATTCAATCGATTTAGCGAAGTAAATGAGTAACCAAAAGCACTATAAAATTATTTGCAAAAATTAATATGTATATATATGTAAATATGTACACGCATATATATGTATATGTGCATACATAAAAGGGCATGAGTTAAAATTATATAACATAACCATGCATTATATGCCTGATAAGCAGGGCCGAAGTAAATAAGCAAGAAAAAATCCATTTTAAGCGCTTAGATAAGCACTAAAACATATTAGTAAATATGCTTGCAAATATGCGCAAAAAACAACAAAAAAGGTATACATATAAGTAAATTTTATGTTTTGGTTTTTATTCAGTTTATTTCAAGTATAGAAAAATTACAATGTACAATCATATACTGTAAATAATAGAGATCTGCGCTGGTCGTTTTAATTTTCTATTCTCCATTTGAGATAAATTGTTTTCAGTCTCTTCAATATCACCAATGCCTTCCCGGAGAGAAAAACCATTGGGTTTAAATTTTTGTATCCAAGCCGAAATGCAATTAAAGTTACGAGTTAATAAAAACCAAATCTGTTTTTAACCGACTTCCAAAAAAGGAGGAAGTTATCAGTTCGTCGGAATATTTTTTTTTTTTTTTTTTTGTGTGTATGTTACCGCATAACTTTGGACCGCGTCAACCGATTTCGATAATTCTTTTTGCATCGAAAAGGTAGTGTCTCAGAGGTGGTCCCATACTAATCTCGTTAAGATCCGATCAGCGGATCATGAGATATATATATATATATATTTTTTTATATGGGAGTTGAAGTCGGTTTTTTTTTGCTAAAAATTACTAGTTTATATTAGTACTAGCAGACCCGGCGAACTTCGTTCCGCCCAAAATTAATTTTTGTATTGAAACATTTTGGTCCAACATTTTCACCAACAGTTCACGTTCATGATTTTCAGTGACGCATTTACATATCTTCTAATATTAAGGTTTGGTTTTTGTCACAAGGCGTATTTCCATTGCGGTCTTAAAAAACCATCAAAAGTGTATATGCATACAAAGATACGTAATAGTTTCAGTGCGTTTGAAAGGCGCCACGCCCCCTTTTTAAATGGCCCCGATTTTCTCTAAGAGTATGGGATTGAATTCAATATCTCTATACCATGATCGAGTAGAGTACTATGAACATTTACGGAGATATGCAGTATGAAAAATTCGGTTTTTATGTGAGGTGCCACGTCCTTTTTTTCCAATAGCTCCAATTTTTCGTCATGACCATGTGATTGATTTATATCTCCATATTAAATTTCCGTACTCTAACAAGAACACTACCAGAGATAAGCAATATGAAAAATTCGGTTAGTATGGGAGGTGCCACGCCCCTTGTACCCAGCGGTATGAAATATACTTTACATCCGATTCTCATACCTACCATATATAGATACACACAAATTTTCATAAAGATCGGCCGAGCCGTTTAGGAGGAGTTCGACCACTAACACCGTGACACGAGATTTTTATATATTAGATTTGTAAACATTTCTTTAGTTCTATGAATAAAAAACGCCCAATAAATGGTAAAGAAAAATTTCTTGAGTCAAAAAGTTAGACAGCAGACTGTAAAATATCAGATGTCAAAACTCCTTGGACATTACTATTCACATACACACACACGAAATAATAGCAATTTTTTTTCTTGACCGTTTTCTTAAAAGGTCCGTACTTAGCTTTATACATTGAAATAACCAAAATAAGCATTATCGTTAAAATTAAGCTTGGAAACCCTGAATAAGCAAAATAAGCAATTCCAAGCAAAAGCTTAAACTTTTCGGCCCTGGTGATAAGTAATGTAATGCATTTCTTATGAGTTTTAAATTCCATTACTGTTTAATATTCTAATATATGTATCCAAGAATTCCCAAAAATTTCATACTAAATCACATAAATTTTTCGATGCGAGCTAATGTAAAATTGAATGCCCCACTTTTCTTAGGCCATCGCCGTGAATTATCGGTTATTTTACTGATTATTTTTTCGATTACCATACATTACATTTTCCCACTGGAATTATTACAACATGCGCTGTTTTTCGTACTTACAATGTGTGGAATGGCAAGGCCATAAAGACAGGCTTTCCGACCGATGAGATCCAAAAGTAGTCCAAAAAGTATATTCCCCGTACAACCGCCGAGACATACAAGTGCACCTAGCCAGGAGCCCTCCTCCACGGAGGCGTTAAAGCCAAGCGGACTACCATCGGGCGATTGTAGCTTTGACAGCATCGGCGGGAACCAGCCGAGACCAATTCCATGGCAATATGTGATTATCGTTACTAAGTAGTTTGTGGAGATCCAAAAAGAATAAATTAAATAATTGGTATATATACTGATGTGTGTATTCATCGATATACTAAACATGTATTTACATGCATATATATATTTCCATTAGACTGGTACGAGCCGCTTTGGCGAAAGTTAAATGCTTGTAATTACCCCCCGTAGTGTGAGAGCTTTATTCCACTTGAGGGCGATTGCTCTTTCGTATCGCCTTACAGAGCAGCCACCGGATTTAAGGGCCGTAGCTTTTAATCATTATTTTATGGTTTTTATTTTTTTCGCTCAGAGATAATAATTATTATCGAATTTTATTTTTCCTCTTAAAAATAATGATTATATATAAAATGGAAAAGGCCATACAGCCACAACATACTGAAATTTTGACCTGAAAATTTGGGACGTAAAAGGAAGGGTCTCGCTACCTCTGAAACGGATACGTCAGAAATAACACTGGTATAGCTTTTGAGGTTTATAATGATCATTATTCTTAAGTGAATAAATAAAATTCAATAATAATTATTATCTTTGAGCGAAAAAATAAAAATCATATAATACATGTTTTAATCGAGAAAATAAAAATCAAGTAATAATAATTTCCTTTGAGCGAGAAAAATAAAACTCAAATATTAATTATTATTTTTTTAATTTTTATTGATTAAACTCGAAAAATAAAAAATCATTGTAAATTACAGTAGGACATACGAACACAAATAAATAAGTATTATTAAAATGGTTTGCAACTTCCTGCCGAGGGGCAACCGCTATTAGAAAAAAAACTTTTTCTTTTCTTTTTTTATGTAAGTCGGAACCTGAGTCTGAACCCAGGCGCTGCGGAATAGTAGCGCGCACTGCTAACCACTACACCACAGCGGCCGCCAATTCAGTAAAAAATGCGCTGTTTTATTCTCAAAAAATAGAAATGCATATTTTGAGAATGACAATGAAAGGGTTGAGTCATCAAGGTGTTGAAGTATGAAGATACTAAGTGAGTAATCTCCCTTAGATGTGCAAAAAATGCATTTCGAATAAAAATTTGCATTTTCTAAGCGGGTTAGGTATCTAAGCGGGGAATAAAATTCTAGATCTCTCTCGTTTGTAGTAGTTAAACGCTCGATTTTTCCCAAACCGGTTTCGAAATATGCCAAAACTACGATATTTTCGTAAATACTGTATCCAGTTTGTTGAACGGGGGAATTTGAAGTAGAAATTCGGAACAAAACACGATAACTGTGAAATTTTTGGAAAATGGGCGTGCCACCGCCCACATAAGAAGAAAGGCTGTATCTCAGTAGCCGCTTCACCAACCCGCTCCAAACTCGATGCGATCATTGCTTAGAGTGAAGCTAAGAAACCTCTTAAAAATGTCTGAAATCGGACAATAAACCCGCCGACCTCCCATATAATCTACATATAAGCTACCGAAGCTACTTTACTCAAAATCGACCTTTGCAATAATCTCCTAGCACTAAATGAGATTATCAAAAAATTTTTGATAATGGGCGTGTTCTCTTCAAAATTTTTTTTGACATGAAAATTTGCGTAAATCGGTTGACGTTGATGGTCACATCAAAATTGCTTCCTTTTTCAGTAACCTCCGAACACAAATTTCGAAGGCAAATACACCGATATTAATTCAGATTTCCATTATTTTGTTCTCGTGGGTACCGTTTTAAACCTTCCGAATCTCTGAGTGTAGTGTGTTCAGTAATTGTCGTTACAGTGGTATTTTCTAACTAACGTAACGGTTAAAAATATATTCAAGCGTGGAAACCATTTAACCGGGTGAAAATATGCGGGGAAATTTATATGTATTCAGAATTATTATGAGTTTCATTTTTCCCGAACCGGTTTACTTTTCACTTTTGGTTTCCATGTATTTACTATGGGCCGATGACAAATTTTCGAGTAATTTTTTTTCGAAAAAAACTCAGGATAAGGCTGATTTTGTATGATTTTTTTTTTTTTACCGAGCAACTGATTCAAATAAGCCGAGGGTCTTTTAAGTGGGTAATTATTATTATTACTTATTAGTATGTCAGGTGTACTCGCGCAGCGACCTAAAAGATCTATTGTGCTAAACCCTAATTGTAGTCACTCCAACCTTAGGCTATTCAAGAAATTAAGCACATTGGAGGGTGCCGTGTTCCAAATATTGGATGGAGAAGATAATCGTTTCCCAAGGTGTATCAGTCTGCTATTCATGATACGCGGGAAGTCACACAAAATGTGCTCTGAGATTTCCATCGCCAGCCCACAGAACCTGCAGTCCGTCTCTACAGAAAACGCCATTTTGTTCAGATGGTACCTTAACTTGCAGTCAGTGCTACCTGTCAGGTAGTCTGTAAGAGTTCTAAGATCCTCCCGGCTGAGTTCACTTAGTCTTTCAGAGCTCCTCCTGGTAGGAGTTATGATTTTTTTTTTGATTGTCTCATTCCTTTTGACTTACGCCAGTGGGCAGCAATCTGAGATTCCTCCCAACTCCTAAGCAGTTCTGCAGTGTATCCTCTAGATGTACCACAGAAAGGCTCGGAACCATGCATTCGCATTTGGCCTCCACGTTTTGCGAGATAGTCAGCCCTTTTGTTGCCTTCAAACCCTTCATGTTCATGCGTAACTCTATTATGGGCTCCTAGGATATTCAGAAGAGTTTTACAATTGTCTACAAGCCTTGAAAGGATAAGCGGGTAATATTGTACATTATATACTTCTTAGTCTAGACTCTAGAGCACAGTCAAGCTTAATCAGAGGATTCTTTTATATTCGGTGGCCTCTGCTAAAATATCCAGCATAAAATTTTTCCCTTTTAACCCTCTATCTACCATTTTTAAAGGGTTTCTTAAAAAGAAGATAAATAATTAAATTTAAAAAAATTGCTCGCCAAATTTTACTCTAGGTCTATGAAGGCAAGAATTTTATAATTTTTTTTTTAATTTAGGCCCATTTGTTATGAATTATAGCCCACTGGTGTGGTATGGGAGAGTATTTTCAACTTCGAGGATGCCCTGTAAAATTTCCTGCTTATCACTTCTGTACAGCATTTTAACCCTCTAACTGCAATTGTAAGTGAACTTCAATGAGCATCCTTAATTTTTCTAGGGCTTAAGGGGTTTAAATGTTCTACCAAGACATTGTACACAGGTCTCTGAAAACAAGAATTGTTTTGTTTGTTTGGAAGTTATTATGTACAAAATATGTAATTGAATTTATGACCAAAAAGGGTAAAATTTAATTTATATGTGATGAGGTGGAATCAAACAAAACAAAATCCTCGTTGGGTTTGACTTTCAGTTACAGTTTGAGCATTTATCGGCTGAGACAGTAAAATGTCTGCTCCACAGTGGAATCTGTTTTCTCTGCTTAAAATAATAAAATCCAAAAGCTTCCATACAAAATATTGTCACAACTAAAAAATTTCGCGCTAAAATCTTCGTGTAGTTTCCGCGGCAGAAGAGAATAGGCTTGTTCATGTGAAAATTGTCCAGTAACTTGCCAGCAACTCTCCAGTAACTTCTTCTTCTTCTGCTCTCATGGAGAAAAATCCAAGATCCAAAAAAATTACGTAAGTTTCACCTACTTATGCATTTTGAGAGTAAATTTGAAAATGTAAATGCATCTTCTGAAAAATGCCGAATTCTCGAGTTGCAACAATATTTTAATAAACTTACTGTATGAATGTATTTCATAAGAAACAACAATCTAATGCACCTTATCAATAAAACTTAGCTATTGCTTTTTCTAAAAATCTCAGACCTTTTATTTAAATTTATTTGAAAAAAAAAATCTAGTAAAAGGTCTGAATTTTTAAGAAAAAACAATTGCTTAGTTTTTATTCATACAAAATAAGACGTTTTAACGGACACGATGTGTTTACAGACTCAAATAAGAGTAACACATTAAATGATTTAGCTGCGAGGCTGGCTTCAGTTACGCAAAACTAATCAAAACTATTCGCCAGCTTGGTTATCACTACATCACTTTAAACATGTTATGCCTTGATCTTAGCTTATGTACATAGCTAGTATACACAAAAATTACAAAATATTTGCTTTACCACTTGCTGCCGCCAATAATTGTGGGCGAAATTCACTGCGAAAAACGCCCTCTGAACTTTTGCACATATTGAACAACATGCTTGCGCTAATGCGGGCTCTTGCAGTTGTTGTTGTAAAACCAGTTTAAGTAACCACTAATTACTAACTTAAAGCATAAAACTTCTCTTAATCTACTAAAACACTGCGATGTAACTTAATGCAATTTCGACATGTTATCTCCATCACTGGTGGCTGTTAACTGACAGTTCACACTTTCGAAAACACAAACAAAATTGCCAAATA